AAAAAAAAAAAGAAATCACATTGGTGAGAATTGTGATTTAAATATATACATGTTTAGTGTGGGGGACATGTTTGTTTCTTAAATTATTACTCCGTATTATTGTGCACCGTGAGAGTTAGTGTCACTTGGTAATAGCTTTGCTTTATGTTATCATTTGGGAGCATGTGGTTTGATTTTTATCACCAGCCGTGTCTACTTTGTTTCGGTTTGGACAAGATGAAGAAAGTGAGCTTTCATGATAAATATGTATTTCATTTACATTTTTTAATATTTGATTATTTGTTATTATTATAATTTAATTTTATTATTTTCTTTCATGAATACATTTCCTAATTATATAATTTATAATTAGACCGTGCAACGCACGGGTACGAGTCTAGTATCGCCCTCAAAAGAAAGAAAGAAAAAAAAGATACTCCGTAATAAAATATCCCAATCCCGTCCGATTGGACGATCACCAAGGGATATATTGAGTTTCAAGAGTAATGCTAAAATCACAAATAGTTAGGACACAAATTACACAAATTTATCATTTGCGTACTTTTTCAAGTCAATAAAATGATTTGAAGTAATTAAAAATAAAATTTTAAATACACAAATAGTAAGTTTGTGTAGTTTGTGTCCCAACTGTTTGTGACTCTAGCATTACTCGAATTTTAATTGCAAATCGGTAGCAGTAGTTTCAAAGGTCCTATGCTTAGCATTATTGCTTCTCTGTGCAGTTTCCAAAAATCAAACTCGATAAAATCCCCTGACACTCTATGTGTTTGCCAACTACGCACCGCCTTCCCTAAAAAAAGCCTTAAAACTTAATCAAATGAGTTCCCCATAAATGTTTCAACCAAGTTAGATAACTGAAAATTGTGCTCGGAAGTAAATATGTTAAGTATAGACTCTGTTTCGTTCGACTTATTTTTTCTGATTTGATCTGATTTTTTGTAGTTCTGATATGATCTGATCTGGTCTGATCGGATTTGATTGGATCTGATATGATCTAATGATATCTGATCTGATTGGATCTGGTCTGATCTGATTGGATCTGATCTGATCTGATTAATTATGATTTGGTTTAAAATTTAAATCAATAATTTGATTCGACTTCATAATAATGTTTGAAAATTGTAATGATAATTCATACTCTATTATAATAAAATCAATATTTTTTATTTTATGATTATATTTTAATGAAATAAAATTAGTTTATTCATATATTAGAATAATCATTCATATTCTAATGTAATAATATTTTTTATTTTATGATTATTTTTTTATGAAATAAGAATATTTTTTTTAAATTAATAATTAGTTCATATATACATTAGAATAAATATTTAATTCATATATTCATTAAAAAGTAATTAAATTTAGATAATCAATTTAAAGAAGAGATAGTATTTTTATTAAAATATCTCATCCTTATAAAATATCAACGCGTTCTTTGTACTACGAAACTTTTGTTATGATTAATATAACACCATTGATATAATAGTTATTTCAGTTACACTAAAATATGCTCCGTATATATATATATATATATATATGAATATCAAATGTTAATTTATTTAAGTTATGATCAAAGCTGATCAAGTCGATGTAGTAAAAGATAAAATGTTTAGAAACTCACATTACAGGTAGCAATAGAAATCTATTTTAAAAGTAGAATATGATTGACATTGTCAATGTATTTTGAAAATAATTTTTCCCACGTCTTATAATTGAGGATTACTTTCTCAGTTTTCTATTTAACTTATTTCTAAAGTTTATTTTCTTTCATTTTCAATAATAATAATAATAGTAATAATAATAATAATAATAATAATAATAATAATACCTCCGTCTCACTGTCTTTGTCCACTTTTGACTTTTGGAACTGTTCATTTAAGCACTTTGACTCATTAAATTAAATTCTCTCAATGTGTAAGCCTAAAAATAGTCATGTGTGATCTTGTTTGATTCGTCTTAACATATAGATTATTAATATATAATTTTTATAATTTTTATAATTTTTTAGTGCATTGGATGGTGTGCCAAAAGGTAAGTGGACAAAGACAGTGGGACGGAGGGAGTAATTCTTAATTGGATCTGATTTGATCTGGTCTTATCTGATTTGATCTGATCGGATTCGATCTGATCTGATCTGATTTTAATAAGAATAAGAAAAAATAAGGAAAAAAAAGTTGAATGGATAGAGCCTAAATATAAAACCGTCTTATTATAAAGGAATGATTATGAAATTTACTCTTTTAATAAATTCATTTTACTTTTCATATCCAAAATTCTAACATGCATTTATCTACAATATTGGGATTTTTTTTAGCAATGCTAGATTCACAAATCGAATGATCACAAACTTTACAAACTTACTATTTATATTTTGAATTCTTATTTTAAAATTATTTTAGACTATTTAATTTCTTTATTAAAATTCACAATTAGTAAATTTGTGAAGTTCGTGAAAATTGTGTTTCTAAACCAAGAATTTCTCTTTTTTCACGGGAAGCGAGACCTACTCTAGCTAACTAATTACGCACGGATTTTCTAATGAATCTTTCTCACACACATTATATCCATTTCCCCACCAATAATGTCGTTAAGCATTCATCCTTTATAATTAATATTTCATTTACGTAACCAAATAAGGTTAGGAGTTTCGTTTAAACATGTTTAAATGAGTTTTTTTTTCATTAAAATATAATTTGTCATGTTTGTCAATCTACTTCTTCTTACTCCCTCCGTTTGGAAAAAGTGTTCCTATTTTGACTTTGTGTAAAAATAAGGAAGTATTAAATTGTAGTTGATTTCCAATTTTGCCCTTGATGTGATAAGTAAAAGTAAGATGTGATGGATAGATTATTAGAGATAAAGTATGATGTGATAGGTAGGGTATGAAAAAGTAAGGGTAAAAGTGGTTTTTTAATAGAAAATGGAAGTGTTTTGTTGGAAGTGAATAAAATGAAAGAGGAAGTGTTTTAAAAAACGGAGGGAGTATACATTACGACTTCATCAATTTATAACACTCATAAGCACCCTTTTAGGGTATATTTTTTTCCTTTGAAAAAATTAACTTTCAACTTTTTTCAACTTTTTCAAATATAAGAAATCACTCTAAATCAGAGTAAAACATATAGAATGTATCAAAATAAGATTTTTATATTTTTATTCTCTAAACAAGAGTTAACATTGTGGTAATGTGGCATTGTACATAGGCATTGATGGTGATATACATGGTCATGTTTGGAAATCTGAGTGTATTTTAACTCTTATTCCAAGAATAATAACATGAAAATCTTATTTTGATATATTTTAACTTTTTACAATATATTCTCTCCAACGTCCAACTTTATATTAGAATTCAGTGAAAAGTGTGCAGTGTTCTAGTTAAACAGGGAACAACGTTACAAGATCATCACACTATAAATAATTTAAAACCATAACGTTGGCACAACTTGCAACAGGGGAATTGAACCCAAATTCATCAATAACCTTATTCTCTTCCCATGCATGCCACTGTGCAGTGCCACAATATAATAATCTGATTGATGGAAATGGAGAGACGAAAGGGGATCATAGCCGTCCCATTTCCCATCCAAGGACACATCAACCCCATGCTTCGCTTTTGTTCTTCCTTAGCTGCTGCCACCGCCGGCCGCGGCGGTGCCGCCTCCATTAACGTCACCCTAGTCCTCACCCACGGCGTCGCAAAATCCGTGCAATCACTGTCCCTTCCCCCGTTCATTCACGCCTTCGAGTTCGTCTCCGACGGCAACGACGATGGCCCGCCGAGCACATTCCAGGAATACCGCTCCCGCCTGGAGGCCTCCGTATCGGAGGGGGTCGCCGCCGTGATCGGGAGGCGAAAGAGCGCCGCCGAGCTTCTCTTGTACGATTCGATGATGCCGTGGCTGGCGGAGATCGGAAGGGCGGGTGGGCTGCGCGTGGCGGCTCTGTTCACCCAATCTGCTTCCGTTTGCGCGGTCTATTACCGCATGCTTCGCGGCGGTTCCGATCTGGCGTGTTTGCCGGATTCACGCGGACTGCCGGAGTTTTCATATTTCGGCGACATTTCAGAAGAAGTGAAAAGATTTATTGTGAATCAGGCGTCAAACATGTCCGTGGCTGACTGCCTTCTGTTCAACACATTTAACGACTTGGAGGAAGAGGTAGCTAGCTACCTTAGTTCTTATTTTGACTTTCAGGAGAAATAAAAAGTATATATTTATGATTGATTTTTCAAAATGTGTTAACAACGTATATCAAGAATACTTGTTGAATATTACAGCGGGAATAAAAAAAATAATAATCCGAACTTATAAGCCGTTTGGATTTTACAACGAGAAATAAAGAAAATAAAACTGGAGTCTTCGGAAGCTCGAACGGACTGGGAGAACACGAACGGACAGCAAGGCCGTGACTTTGGAGAAGATGATCGGAAATCGGGAATTCGCCGGAGCGGTGTCTCGAAGTGAAGGTTAGGAAAGCGGAGTCGCCGAAGCTTTCCTTAAGGTAGTATTGCCCGCCTCCCGCACTGGCAAACGTGGGCAATCTCCTCCCAGGATAAAACCGCAACGTGCTAAGTCTAGAGCGGTAGAACAGAGCATCGGCGAAGAGAGCACCGGTCCATAATTATTTCGGAAAATAATTTTGTAGACCCTATCGAATTTATGTCTAAAATTGTCCAATTTATTTAAATTTTCCAACAGTACTAAATTATGATGTCAAAATATAATATGTTACAGGCGGTGAGATGGATGTCGGAAAAATGGGCGGTGAAGACAATAGGGCCGTTGGTTCCAAGAAAAACACAAAGGACGACACCATTCTTCAAGCAAGAAAAGATTGAGCTATACGAGTCAGACGACGAGGGGTGCATGGCATGGCTGGACAAGCAGCGACCCAACTCCGTCGTCTACGTGTCCTTCGGGACAGTCGTGGCCTGGCCCGAAGAACAGATGCTGGAAATAGCAACGGCCCTCGTCCAATCAGACAAACCCTTCCTATGGGCACTCAGAGAGTCCGAGAGGCCCAAACTCCCCAAAGGGCTTTTGGACCCAGACAAAAAGGGACTGCTCGTGAGGTGGTGTCCTCAGGCTGAGGTCCTGTCCCACGAGTCGGTCGCGTGCTTCGTGACGCACTGCGGGTGGAACTCCGTGCTGGAAGCCGTGTGCTCGGGCGTGCCCGTGGTCGGGATGCCCCAGATCGTCGACCAGCCCGCCAACGCCAGACTCGTGGAGGATGTCTGGCGGGTTGGGGTGCGAGTTAAGGTTGAGGAGAATGGGATTGTGAGGAGGGAAGAAATTAAAGGGTGTGTTGCGCGGGTGACGGGGGGAGACGAGTTTCGAAGGAATGCGATGAAATGGAAAGGGCTGGCGGAAGGGGCTTTGGCGGAAGGGGGAAGTTCTCACGCTAATATCAGAGATTTCGTCTCACAATTGGATTCTCATTCTTGTTCTGGCTCTAGCTAATTCATAACGACTACCATTGTTCTTAACTGATTGCTACAAGAGTTGCAAAATTAACGACTTATTGAACATGTACTCCGTAGTACTTGAATTGGCTAATTAAACACAAAAGATACTGTTAGACAATAATACTAATAGTACTTCTTGTAGTATTGGTTATGGTAGTGTTTCATTATTAGTCAGTTTCCTAATCCTATTTGTGGTAGATGTTGTATGTTAGTTTCCATTCTCTATTCCTAGTTGTGTTAGAAGTCTCTCCTATATATACTCTATCACGTACTTCATAATTCAAGGAGCAATACTATTATTCTAATATTTCAACATGGTATCAGAGCCATCAAGAAGAAATAAGACCTCTACAACTCACCCATTCAAGAAGGAAATAGGGCATTGCCCGGATCCAAGAAAAAGACAAAAAATGTCAAGAATCTTCAGTCAAACAGGCACTTCCAGTAGCCTTCTCTCTTCTTCATCGACGTCAGCAGCTACCAGCACACGTCAATTTCTCTCTTCTCCAATGACGTTAGCAGCTACCAGTGCACGTCAGACTTCTCTCTTCTCCAACGACCTCAGCAGCCACCGGCGCGCGTCAGACTTCTCTCTTCTCCAACAACGTCAGCAGCCACCGGCGCGCGTCAGACTTCTCTCTTCTCCAACAACGTCAGCAGCCACCGGTGCGCGTCACACTTCTCTCTTCTCCAACGACGTGAGCAGCCACCGGCGCATGTCAGATTTCTCTCTTCTCAAAGTTTCCAGCTAGTGTCCAAGCTTCCTCTTGCTTCAGCCAGAGTTCAGCTTGAGGGGGGATGTTAGACAATAATACTAATAGTACTTCTTGTAGTATTGGTTATGGTAGTGTTTCATTATTAGTCAGTTTCCTAATCCTATTTGTGGTAGATGTTGTATGTTAGTTAGTTTCCATTCTCTATTCCTAGTTGTGTTAGGAGTCTCTCCTATATATACTCTATCATGTACTTCATAATTCAAGGAGCAATACTATTATTCCAATATTTCAACAGATACAAATTTAAATTACTTACTTCGTCCCAAAAATATGTTCTCATTTTGATTTTTAGGAATTTAATG